CATCGCCGGAGCCCGCCGCCCCCCCCCGACGTCTCCCCTCCCGGCCCCCCAAGGCCTGAGGAGCCCTCGCTTCGTCCCCAACGTCCCCATCCCACCCTGGACCATGTGGCCCCGCGGTGGCTTCTCCCACGGTGGCGGGGATGTGACCTGCGGTGGCACCTTCCGCGCTGGCTTTGCCCACGGTGGTGGCATCTCCCACGGTGGCTTTTTCTGTGGTGGCTTCTGCCACGGTGACATCTCCTGCCGTGACATCTCCTGCGGTGGCATCACGCACGCTGGCAGCGTCCCCCACGACGTCATCTCCCACGGCGGTGGCATCTTTCATGGTGGCATCTCCCACAGCGATGGCATCTCCCATGACAACGTCTGCCACGGTGGTGACATCTCCTATGGTGGTGGCATCTCCCATGACAATGTCTCCCACGGTGGTGGCATCTCTTATGGTGGTGGCATCTCCCATGGTGGTGGCATCTCCCATGACAACGTCTGCCACGGTGGTGACGTCTCCTATGGTGGTGGCATCTCCCACGGTGGTGGCATCTCCTATGACAACGTCTCCCCTGGTGGTGACATCTCCCATGGTGGTGGCATCTCCCATGATGACATGTCCCAACATCGTGGCACCTCCCACAGTCGTGGCATCTCCTACAGTCGTGGCAGCTCCCGTGACAACGTCTCCCCCGGTGGTGGCACCTCCCTTAATGCCAGCTCCCAGGCTGGTGGCATCTCCCACACCTGCAGCACATCCCACGGTGGTGGCATCTCCCGGAATAGTGACATCTTCCACAGTGGTGACATCTCCCACAGTGGTGACATCTCCCACAGCTGCGGTGTCACCCAAACCAGCGGCATCCGCCACGATGGCACCTCCCACGGTGGTGGCATCTCCCATGGTGGTGGCACCTCCCACAGCCATGGTGGCACCCAAACCAGCAGCGTCTCCCACGATGGCACCTCCCACAGTGGCATCCACCATGATGGCACCTCCCACGGTGGTGGCACCTTCCATGGTGGTGGCATCTCCCATGGTGGTGGCACCTCCCACAACCATGGTGTCACCCAAACCAGCGGCATCTCCCACAGCCATGGTGTCACCCAAACCAGCGGTGTCTCCCATGATGGCACCTCCCATGGTGGTGGCACCTCCCACAACCATGGTGTCACCCAAACCAGCGGCATCTCCCACGATGGTGGCATCTCCCGCGGTGGTGGCACCTCCCAAACCGTCCGCTCCCGCCACGGTGCCATCTCCACCAGCTTCCTCCTCCGCCTCTCCCACCACCCTCGGTGGCCTCCCCACCTCTTCCTCCTCCTCCTTCTCCTCTTCCTCCACCCACCCCCAACCCAAGGAGCCACCTTCAAGGTGGGGGTGATGGGTCCTTGGACCTGTGACCCCATCCTGGCCCGGGCTTTGCCCGAGGTGGCCTCTCGCTTGGCCGTGGCCCGTCTCAACCGGGACCCAACCCTCAACGAAGGCTATTGGTGGGACGCGGTGGTGTTGACCGAGGCGTGCCAGACCCCCCAAGCCGTGACGGGGCTTCTCAACGTCGAACGTTACGCCACCGGTTTGGTGGGACCGCTCAACCCGGCCACCTGCGGTGCTGCCGGCCTTCTAGCGGCCGCCTGGAACAAACCTTTGGTCTCCTGGGCTTGTTTGGGTGACGTCGAGGGGTTGGACACCTTGGTCACCCCCATGCCGGAGCCAGCTGGGGTGCTCCACGCCGTCCTCCGTTTCTTCCGTTGGGCCCACGTGGCCGTGCTCTCCGCCCCACAGGACCTCTGGCGCGAGGTGGGGCAGGGTTTGGCCCAGGACCTCCGGGCTCGGGGGTTGCCCGTCACCGTCGTCACCGCTGCCGGGAGCCAGGAGGACGAAGCTCGCGAAGCTCTGAGGAGGGTGCAGAGGGCTGACGGCGTC